TAGTTGTTCCCGCCCACCGCTGCGCCCCAGGGAGTTGCGGAGGAGGCAGCCTACGCGGGAGTCGGTCGCTCCTCCGGGCCACCATCAGGCTCTGGGATCTGGGTTAGGCCAGCCTAGGGAGTCCGCCAGCAGCGTCACTCCGGCCAGGCACCTTTCACCAATCCCGTCCGAGAGGGGAATGTGCGGCTGCAGTTGCCACCGCGCCCTGCTCTTACAGGACTGCCCGAGCCCAGAAAAACCTCCGCTGGAGTCAAACTGTGGTAGGGAGTCAGTTCCTCACTCACCTCGCCACCAGTCAGCCTTCCTCCCTGTCCGTCGCGTTTCCGACTCCGTTCGCAGACTCCCGTTCCCGAGCCTCTGCGTGTCTCTCCTTGCCGAGCCGCTGTGGAGGTAGCCGGCCGCCTGGCGGCGGGAAATCCAAACCGCGGTTTCCAATGGCGCAGGGTCGAGCCTCCACACCGAGATTTTTCTGTTCCTATTTTAGCGCCAGGACTGTATTCCAAGTTGGATTCTCTCAGCCCAGTTCGTTCCTGAGTCAGCAGAACATATCTCTACTGGTTCGTATCTCCTTAGTCCGCATCATTCCTGGCCTCTGAGCCGAGCCTTTAGAGAGCGTTCAGTAGTTGCTGTTGTCTGTCCGCCATGTTCTGCAGTCTGATCCATTTTAACTTTAGTGCATATTGAGATATATGGGTCTAGGCTCACTCTTTTGCATGTGAATATCTAATTTTCCCAGCGTTATTTATTAAAGAGACTTATCTTTTTACCAGTGTTTAATTTTGACACAATTATCAAGGAGTTGATTGTGCCTGGAATTGTTTCTGCTTCTCTCTTATGTTCCATTGATCTATATGTCATTTGTGCCGGTACCATGCTATTTAAAAATTTTTTAAAAAAAATTGTTTTAGCTTTGCGGTATAACTTGAAATCTGAGATTGTAAAACCTCCTGCTTTGCTTTTGTTACTCATGATTGCTTTTGTTATTCTGGGTCTCTTCTGGTTCAGTATGAATTTTAGGATTATTTTCTCTAGATCTGTGAAAAATGCTATTTTGATTGTGATTGCATTATATCTGCGTGTCAGTTTTGGAAGTACAGACATTTTGATTATATTGATTTTTCCTATCCTGCCCAGCATTATGGGTTTGCAGCTGGATTCCTATATTAAGTTTGAATTCTGCCAGTAGAAATTGCTGCTGTGGCTAATTAAACAGTTCTGCTATTTTAAAAGCAGAGTGGTAATTATCAAGACAGAGCTCTCCAACAACATCGGTTATTTAGTGGGGTTCAGATGAAACCACTAGAAGTCAGAACCCTTATCCTTTCCCTCTAATTTCTCTCACATCAGTTATCGCCATTGGATCCTCCTGTTGTAATAGAGTTTGCACCTCCAGCAACTTCGTCCCTTTCTCCTTAAAAGAGCGTCCTCTTTCATTTCTTGTTTCTAGTTTCGGTTTCTAGCTGACACTCATGCAATGCAGATAGTACCAGCAAATTCTTCAGTAATGAGTACATTTGAAGATATTTCCATTCTAGGTCAAAACGGGTAGATTTAAAAAAAGTATTACTTTACAAGTTCTTTTATCTGTTAATTGAACTCAAGAATGACATATTTAAGGACTAAACTGTTAGTAAAAATTGAAGGTTCTATTTGCCTGAAACTTTAGTACTGTATTTCCAAATCTAATTTGCCAAAAGATCTCTTTTTCTTGAGAACCAGTTTGTTATATGTCCTGTAGATCCTTCTCTTTAGAGCTTTTGGGCTGGCCTGCTTCAGCTTTTTTTAGATTATGTCTCTTCTTCATTTATAGATGTGGTAGGAAAAATTAAAAGGATTAGTCTCTAATTACATGTCAGGGATATAGTATAAAATATAAAACTGAATCCTCTTGATTCCTCCCCACTTACTTAGAGAGTCATCAACATCAGCATCAATTTTGGTGAAATGGAGCAGAGGCAGGATCACCCGTAGCCTGAATCTACTTTCCCAACCACTGAGTGATACCAATTTCATCATCTTTGATCCTGCTCAGTTGGCTTCGAGTGACTCAGTAAGCTTGCTCAGCTGTGGACTTTTTGGTCTTCCTGGAGACTACACACAGGTTCCTGGAGTCTCTGGTGTTTTTCCATGTTCTGATGTCCTCTTTGATTTTCTTTTCCAGAGTGATATAGTTTTCTTTCATTGTCTTTCACTTTCTTGGTTAAGTTAATTCATAATTATATACTTTTTCTTGTGCCATTGTGAATAATACTGTTTTCCTAATTTTGTTTTCAGTGAGTTCATTATTAGTATATAGGAACACTATTGATTTTTGTGTGATGACTTTGTATCTTGTTACATTGCTGAACTTGGTTATTGATTCTAGGAGTCCTGCTGTGGAATTTTTTGGATTTTGTAAGTTGAAGGTCATGTCATCTGCAAATAGTGATATTTTGACCCAGTCCTTTCCTGTATATATACCTTTTATGTCTGTCTTTTACCTGATGTGGTTGTTTTGAGGGCTGTGTTGATAATTGAACATCTTTGGCTTGTCCCTATTTAACGTACTCCTGCAGGCTTCTACCTCTGGTGGTGCATGACTGTCCCACTGAGCAACTTGCATGACCCAATAGGACTGTCTCATGCTGTCCAATGGGACACTCATGGGTTTATCACTAGTGGTTCAAACTACACGGCTGTGAGACATATGAATTATGGCCTTGTCATGAACATGTTAATATGATGTTGACAGTAAGTTGGTCATAAATGGCTTTTATCAGATTGAGATAAGGTCCTTGTGTACCTATTTTCTTTGGTGTTTTTATCATGAAAGGGTATTGGATTTCATCAAAGCTTTTTTTGTGTCTGTTGAGGTGATTATGTGATTTTTGCATTTGCATCTGTTTATGTGATGAATTATACTTACAGAGTTGCTTATGTTGAACTATACTTGCATCCCTGGATGAAGCCTATTTGTGGTTATGGTGGATGATCTTTTTGATGACTTGTCACATACCTTGCGATGTCTTCTTGAGGATATTTACATCTAGATTCATTACAGAAATTAGAGATCAGTTCTCTTTTTTGGTTGGATCTTTGCTTTTGGGATCAGAGTAATGCTGGCTTCCAAGAATGATTTTAGGAATATTCTTTCCTTGTCAATTTCATTAAAGAATTTGAGAACATTGGTATTTATTCTTCCCTGAATTTTTTGTAGAATTTGTCTTTGAATTATTCAGGTCCTGTATTTTTCTTAGTTGATAGTTTTTTAAAATTACTGCTTCAATTTCATTGCCTGTTATTAGATTATTCAGGATTTTTAAGTCTTCTTCATTTAGATTTGGTAATTCATATGTATTTAGAAACTTCTCCTTTCTTCTGAGTTCTCCAATTTTTTGGCATACCAAATTTTCAAGTAGTTGCTACTAGTCTTCCAGATTTTGGTGGTATCCATTGGAATTTGGCTGTTTTCATTTGTAATTGCACTGATTTGTGTCTCTTCTTTCCTTGTTTTGGCAAGATTGGCTATGGGTTTGTCTATTTTTTTCAACCAACTAGCTTTTTAATTCATTCATTATTTGTATTTTTTTAGTCTCCATTTTCATTGATTTCTTTTCTGATCTTTATGATTTTCTTTCTTATACAACCTTGAGTTTAGATTGTTCTTATTTTTCTAAGATCTTGAAATGCATAATTAGGTTATTTATTTGGGTTTGTTCTGTTTTTCTGATGTGGGCATTCACAGATATCAACTTATTTCCTAGGATTTTTAGGCTAGTCTTCTTTGTGTCACCTAACAGCTGTTGGATCCAATTTTATGTTCTCTTGTTTTATTTTTGCATTTTATAGTCTTTTTTTCAGTAGTCATAAAGGGAAGTACTACTTTGGGGTCACAGGGAACCTTGAAATTTAAAAAGAAAACCTCAAAAATTGCTAAAAATGTCTTAAGATGTGAAAAAGTGATGATCAATGAAGTTATTTACATATAATCCATATTTAGAAATTTGATATATCTGTTTTTAAAAATGAACATTTAAGAATAAACACATTTGAACCAAAGCAAGAGCAAGGGCTTAGGAAACTGAGTATTCATTAGTGAGAAAGAATATACAAGACCACCAGTATATTTTAAAACACAGGACTTGTAGTTACCCAGCCTAATAGCGTGAGTTACAGAGTAAGAAGTTATTTGGGCATCATCTTTAGTCCTTTTGTTAAATAATTTGTCATTTGCCCAGTAAGATATTTAATTTGATTTCTCAATTACTTATAAAGAAATCTTTTCTGAAATTCTAACTACAGTTATTATAAAGGAGTAGTAATACATTTGGCTATGTTTTAAATTCTCCATACAATTTATAGAGAACAATTTTGTAAGAATGTGAAGTTTTGAGCAAATGCTTATTTTGTGCAATCACAAAAAAATTAGGCCAAGCACTTTAAAAATGAAAAGCCCTCTATATGTTCAAATTTAATATGAAAGGGCTGGGGATTTAGCTCAGTGGCATACGCGCCTATCTGGCAAGTGCAAGGTAGTGAGTTTGATCCCCAGGACCAAAAAAAAAAGCAAATTAAATATGAAGCTAGACAAGGGATTCCATTTTGAAAGGCTGTCCATACAATTTCAGATACTAACAGAAAGTTCTCTTGTTTTTAAGGTATATCTCTTTTAATTGATCACTAACTACAGGCCTCTCTTCTAGATGTGATACTCTGTCCTCACACTGGTTGCTTGTACTGCCTGTACTTTCAATTGTATCTTTTTTTTTTTTTTTTTTAAAGAGAGCAGCTCCTCTTTATTGTAACATGGAGTAAGTGAGGGGGCTGGAGAGACAGGGGGTTGCCAGCCCCAGTTCCCTCCACTGGGGCCAGATGCCTGAGGCTGGAGAATTTGGGGATTCAGTCTCTCCCAAGGGAAACCCAGGCCCGCAGAGGGTGCCACAGTGGGGCAGAATGAGATGCAAGTGAGGGGGAATCTTTAAATACACAGCGGGGCTGAAGAAGAGAAACAGGACTACGCTTTAGTGCACCACGTATTCCTTGCGCTTATTGAGTGGAACTTGGCAGAAAGAGAAGCCTCCGCGGAGGAGGTAAAGACCAGGGGCGATGAAACAGTTGTAGCTGACTTGCTCGTAAGGCTTGTATATATTCTGAGGGCCATTCGTGAAATCTTTCTCCTTGAAGGGAACATCCTCAATCAACACAGCCGAGTGCACATTGAAAAATATTCCGAGCATTATCAACATGATCACTCCCCAGGCGCTGAGGACGATGCTGCACGCGGCCACCTTGGGGCCACAGCACAGGAGCGATGCCATGAAGAAGGGAGTTGGGGATTCAAGCCGAGTGTGAGCCCAGTAGAAGGGCTGCCAAACGGAGCCTAGGATACGCCCCCGGGGTCAGCCTCACTTGTATTTTTAATGCTTGATTTCTGTTTGAAATTTGTTTGTGGATTCACATTCTTTTCTATGCTGAACATTCATTGTTTTCCATCTTTTTCTTTTGTTCTGCTAGATTTTTATTAGTATTTCTCTATACTTCATTTATTTCATTAAGATCTGTTTAGTTAAATCTTCTTTGAATCTGCCAAGGCATCTTATGCACTGTTTGTTACCCTTCTTGTTATAGCAAAGCCAACCTTATTGATGACCCAGGAATACAAGTGATACTTGGAGAAGTGGGGAGAGCCAAACTTTATTAGCCAACTGACCCAGAGGAGCAATGCTATGAAATTTGGGTTCTGAGCAGTGGAGAATGGGAATTTCTTTTTTTTGGTACCAGGGATTGAACTCACAACCTCACGCTTGCTAAGCAGGCACTTGTGCCACTGAGCTAAACCCCAGTGTATGGGAAGTTTCATACTCTAGTTTGAATTGGATTGGGCTGGGGTCAAGTGAAGTGAAACTTTACAGAAGCAGGAATTTGCAGGTGTTGTGTTCTGAGATTAGAGAGCTTTACAGAGATAGAAGCAAATTGAAATATTTTGTGGTTACATATATACTGTGGTTACAAGACAAACATAGAACATTACATTTTGAGGGTGGTTGTGCGGCCTTGCACCCTGAGGCAGGAAGTGGAAACAGGTAAAAACGGGTGGTGGTAGAGGGGTGTAAGGTTCTGACTTTCCTCATTAAACTGATATCCTTTCAGACGTTTCTGCTGTTTGGCTAATTTTTTCCTGCTTGATGACTCTTGAATAAGCTTTGGGGGAGTTGGTAGTTTTTGCAAGCATTTTGTTGTCTTGTTTTCTCATTTCTATTTGTTTTCCGTGCTGGGGTTTGGTGGTTGAGTATAGTGCGTAGCTTTGTTGCAGAGAAATTCTCTGGGCATAGATAACTATTGGCCTTTACTTCTATCTCAGGATCCAGTGATCACTGTTTATTCTGGAGGGGTTTTTGCAGATTATTTGACCCAGTACTCAGTTCTTTGGGAGTGGGATGCAGTGTTGTTTATGACCTTGAGTTCTCCAGATGTTGGCATGAAGATAAAACAAACAACTATGTCATCCTGGCTATAGTAGTAAACTCACCAACAATAAGTGTCAAATATGAAGTAGATACTGACAGACCTTAAGAACCACTCATAAACCACCCTTAGCCAAAGCAAAGAAATCTAGGATTTTAATATAGGCATTTAGATAACCCATGTACTACAGTAAACCTGACTGCTGTCCTCTGCTGGATGTAAGCAGTGGTTTGTGGGCTCAAGCTGATCACTGGACTCAGTGCCAACACCTACAGATTCAGCCTCCTCTAATGGTTACACCCACCAAACCTGGATTCTCATTATAGAATTCAGGTCCTGTGATTTCACTGGCCTGAGCATCAGTTTCCCAGGAGAACTGTGTCTAGCCTTTACTCTTTTAAAATCTGTCTCCCAAAGCTGTCTCTTACCTGCTTTCCATGGTAGGTAGCACTTTAGTCCAGGATTTGAAACTTTCCTCCTGGTGTTGGTTTTGTCCTTCATCAATTCGATTGTTTGGCTGTCAGCTCTTCCACCTTGTGCTGAGGAGAACCAAGGTGCATAGACGGCTAAAATTTGGTAGTGGGGTGCCTCTGCGCCTTCCTGTGCAGTTGAGGCTGCAGTGACAGGTTGGGCGGGGTAGTAGGGCAAGTGTCGGGGGAGGCTTCTCTACTCCTTCCTGCATTGTGCAAGACAGCCACTGTACGGGCTTTTCAACCATTCATATATTTCCTTAGTGAAAATATCTTTTCAGATCTTTTGCCTATTTTAAAATTGGGTTGTTTTCTTATTACTGAGGTTTGATGATTCTGTTTATATTTTGGTTACAAAACTTTTGTCAAATAAATGATTTGCAAATACTTTTTCCTGTTCACTGGCTACCTTTTCTTTATTTTTTATTTTTTATTTTTATTTTTACAGAATGTTAGTGGGGGCAGAGGGAGGATTGAATGGAGGTCCTTCCCACCAGTTACATTTCCAACTGTTACTTTTTAAAGTTTAAAATTAAATTTAAAATTTCTAATGTTTAAATTCCTCAGGCTTGGAGCCTCCTGGAGTCTTGAGATTGCAGATGTGTGCATTTTCATTTTTTGTTTTTCTTTTATTGGTACATGATTTTGATATATAATGAATACATTCTTTATGGGGACTTGCTATGTATACATGTCTGTTTTGGAACATTTTACTTCTACTTCTCTCCTTTCTGGTTCCTCTCCAATACTAGCTCCCCTTCCTGTCTGTAAGACATCTACCTCCAAGTTTCCTATTGTCTTTTATTTTACTCTTTAAATGATTTATACTTTGGATTTTTCATGTAAGAGAAACCATGGGCTATTTGTAATTGTGTGTGTCTAATTCACTTAATATTATGGTCTCAAGGTGCATCTATTTTCTTATAGATGACTTGTATTTATCCTTCTCTATGACTGAGTAGTACTCCATTATGTATATGTACATCACATTTTCTTTATTCATTCATCTGTTGATAGACTTGTAGGCTGTTTACAAGATTTAACTATTGTGAATTGTGCTTCTATAAATATGGTTATGCATGTATTGCTGTAGTATGATATCTTAAGTATTTTGGGCAGATAACCAGCATAGGTATAGTTGGATCAAATGGAATTTCTGTTTTTAGTTTTCTGAAGAATATCTATACTAATTTCTGTAGTGGCTGTACTAGTTTACAGTTCTCAAAAGCAGTGTGGAAGGTTTCCTGTTTTCTTGTTGTCTTGCTAGCATTTATTATTATTTGTTTTCTTAATGATAGCCATTCTTTTGGGAGAAAGATGGAATCTCTATTGTTTTGATATACATTATTTAATACCCAAACATACTTAACATTTTTTGTGTCTATATTAATCACTTGTACTTCTCCTTTATTCATTTCAAGTTCCTAGTTTTTGATTTGGTCTTTTATTTGGGGTGTGTGGGGTCTATGGCCATTCTGCCCTGGAGGCACCTGATCTCATCTGGTATGTGTGCATGGGGGTGGGGTTAAGGCTGTAAGTATTTTGAGTTCTTTATATATTCTAGATACTAGTTCTGTGTTCAAGGACTATCTGACAAAAATTTTTTCCCCATTGTTCAGTCTGTGTCTTCTTTCTGTTGGTTGTTTCCTTTGTGCTATGAAAGCTTTTTAATTTGTTGTGATCCTGTTTGTTGATTTTTGGTATTTCTTATGGATGTGAGGTTCTATTGAGTAAGTCCTTGGTTACACCTATATGTTTAAGAGTTTTTCCTAATTTATCTTCTAGTTGATAAGTGTTTTCTATTTTAATACCTAGTTTTTAAAAATTTTATTTAAAGAAAAACTAAATAAAACAGAAAATAGGTAGAAATAATACATACATTCAGAGAAAAAAATAAACAGTAAGAAATCACTAGTAGATGTTTACATATTGTTGTTTTACAAATAGTTGTTCACGATACAAAAGTAGAACATGTAAAGTGGGAATTGAAACAGCGAGACTGCAAACAGTTCTGTTCAACTGTCCAACAAAAACTTAGTAACATGGTTGTCAATCCTATACACTTAAACATACATGCAGTTATCCATATGTTCATTTATGTTTAGATTAAACTAAAGCAGGCTAACATCAATCTGAACAAAGAATAATAGTATTGCTGGATTTTACATTATGATACTCCGTGATCAGCAATGGGTACTGTAGTGTCTTTTCTTTTTAATTTAATTTAAAGAAACATTAAATAAAATAGAAAATGGGTAGAAATAATATATAATTTCAAAGAAAAAAATAAACACTAAGAAATCACTAGTTGATTACAGATTATCTTCTTACAAATAGTTATTCAAGATACTAAAGTGGATCATATATAGTGGGGATTCCAACAGTGAGATTGCAACCAGTTCTGTTCAACTATCCAACAAAAACTTAGAAATATGGTTATCAATCTTATACACTTAAACATATAAGCAGTTATCCATATCTTCAATTATGTTGAGATTGAATAAACCCAAGCAGGCTAATATCACTCTGAACAAAGAATAATACTATTGCTGGGTGTCACATTATGACACTCCAGGATCAGGGTATTTTAGTCTCTCTTTTTCTTCAAAGTATCTGTTCATCATGTGTCATAAGATCAGTTCTCATAAACTATTTATAGATTCTACACATGCATGAGTCTTAACATGTATTTCTATCCTTTCTATATTAGAGGGAGAAACAAAACATTCTCTCTCTAGAATGCCCTGCAGTATTCTCTGTAGAGTTGGATTGGTAGTTGTGAATTTCCCAAGTTCCTCTTTGTTTTGGAAGCATCTTGTTTCTCCATTAATTTCTAGAGACAGTTTAGCAGGCTATATCAACCTGGGCTGGAAGTTCTTTTCTTTCAGGGCTTGGAATATTTCGCTCCAGGCTCCTCTTGATGGTTTGTGTCAAGAAGTCTACTGTTATTCTGATGGGCCGTCATCTGTAGGTTATCTGTTTCTTGTCTCTAACAGCTTTTAATATTCTGTTCTTATATTGAATTTCTGGGATCTTGATTATTATATGCCTGGGTGTAGCTCTGTTTTGGTTGTAGGTGGCTGGAGTTCTGTATGCTTCATATGTCAGAATATCATTTCTTTTTCCTGTGTTTGAGAAGTTTTTCTCAATTATTTATGTGAATAACCTTTGTAGTTCCTTTGTTTGTACCCTTGCTTCTTCATTCACATACTTTATTCTCAAGTTATAGATCCTCTTGTTATCTTCGAGCCTTTGTATTGTTACTGCTTGTTTCCTTGTTATTTTTAAAAAGTTTTCCCTTTCATAATCCCACATTGCAAAATTGTCCTCCAGTTTGGATAATCTATCCTTAGTTTCTTTCAAGCTGATTTGCCATCTTTCCATAAAGTTTTTAATTTCCTGGTAATCTCTTTGAATCTGCT